TTGCTTTGTGAGCGCGCAGTTCATTGAGTTACGTCAAGCAAGCCTTGCTCAGATCGCCGTCGTGTGATACTACTTCGTGAAAAAAAAAAAAAAAAAAAAAAAAATACTACTTCGTGCCGTAAGCCGGAAGCAATACATCAGACTGCGAGTACCAGCTGAAACCAGCATCACATTTGGGACAGGCCACTGCTCGGGCTCACTCCCGCAGATAGAGCAATCTCACGTCCAGCAGCCTGGCAGGGCTTCAGCCCTCAACCTGGATTTGATAGAATGCGCACCTATTTAACTGTCATCCGTTGTTTCACAAGGTCTAGAGAGAAGAAATCATTCCGGGCCAAAACGCAGGTCCGCCCTTGTTCACCTCATACCACGGCACGTCGTGCGCGAGGAGCACCCTGACGCGAGGATACCCCACCTCCAACGCCCGCATCCGCGCGATGTGCTCCGCCGCCGCCACCTTGTCGCCGTGGGCGCACCCCAGCAGCCCATGGCTCGGGATCCCCGCCTCGCCCGTGAGCAGCCGGCGGTCGTGCGCGCTGTCCCCAGCCAGGAAGATCCAACCCCCGTCCGCCGACGTCCGTGCAAGGATGTTGATGTGCCCCGGCATGTGCCCGGGGGCGTCGACGATGTATAGGCTCCCGTCCTCGTAAAAGTCCAGCGCGTGTGGGAACGGACCGAGTGGCGGCCATCCTGCCGGATCGTCCAGGAAGCGCGTGCGGCCTTCCGGGAGCAGGTCCTGCGGGAAGAGGGATTTAGGGTCCTCAGGCCATCCATGCTCGACGAGCGGACGTGCAGCCGCACCGACGACGAAGACCGCGTTTGCGTACGGGTGCGAGTCGCCGATGTGGTCGTAATGGAGATGCGAGTAGCACACGGTCGTGACGTCCGTGGGTGCGAGTCCGCCCTTGGCGAGCGCATCCGCAGCGTCCTCGGGCACGGTCGTGCGGAAGCCCATGCCGTTGATGCGGCCGTGGTACGCGGTGGGGAGGGCTTCAATGTCCTTGCGGACGCCAAGGTCGAAGACGAGGGTGTCATTCTTCGTAGAGTGCCGGATGAGGAAGGCGAGTACGGGGAGCACGCTCGTTTCGCCTTCTTGAGCAGTGTCGATCACCCAGACGAGAGGGATCTGGATGAAGCCACACTCTAGAGCGGACACCTTGCAGAAGGCCTGGTCGGGTGTTGGTGCGGGGAGTTCTCGTGTCGCGAGCGTCGTCATGTTGTGTCTCATTCTTCGGATGGAAGCTGTGCAGGTCGATGTGAGTCCCTTCCGTTCCGTTGTCCCCAGCATATTATATGCCGTGACTATAGGCGTGGGTATGGACGGAAGCTCTCACAGTCGCAGAGAGGAACATGTGTGCCATCCGTGCACCCGCTCCCACCCTGCGAGCACTACTCTCAAGGAGCCTTGACTTGGTAAAGAGAGTTTCTCTTACTGCCCTATAACTACTCATGTTCATCAGCATAACGCGCTACAGATAGACCAGACATACTTATACACGACTTGATACAATATAGCTTGAGTGGAAGGATTACACGGTCTAAAGTGTTGTCCAAAGCATCGGTGCACGAGTATACGAGGTCCACGTAACCCGGCTCCCACAACCTCACCTGTGTGCGGGCGCCGGCGACTTCTCCCTCGACAAGTCTCTCTTCGCGCGACTTGGTGGCCTGCTCGGGCCACCCACCTCCCCCGTCTCGATGAGATCTTGCCAGATGGTGTCCGTCCAGTCCACGACCGCACCAATCTTCTTGAACGTCTCCCACACCTCCCTCACGAAAACATCGTCCTCAAAGCCTTTGATGACAGGAGGGCGTGCGCGCTCGCGCTCCCACCCGACAAATACGCTTTTCGGATCGTCGAGCCCAAGGTGAAGGCGCGGCCGCTTGCCGGGGCGGTCACGACCCGTCCGCATGTGAATGGGAGTGGGCGAGGTGGCGCGACTAGTTGGCCCACTCCCGTGTTCCTCGGAATGTGAGGGAACGGAGACGAGCCACGTAGCCAATCCCTGCACTAAGCGTTTCTGCAAGAGAAGGAAAACGGGATCGGTGGGATGCAGCGTGCGGTCGACCGCGGTGCGCAGGCGTTGTTCTTCCTCGGGGGTGCACGGGTACTCGGCGTCGGCGCAGGCGCGACGGACGCGCACGACCTCGTCTTCAAGGTTGATAATCTTCGTCTGGCCCTCGCCATCGCTGGACTCCTCCTCAAGGGAGCTCTTGAGCAGCACCCACACACGCTCCATGAAGCTTAGGCCATCGTCCGCGTCGCGCGAGCTCGCGAATTTTGGAGGGATGCGAACGAGCGAGCGGAGAGATGCTGCGATCACGAGGGCCTGGAGGTAGTTTTGCGCGACTAGGAGGCTGGCGCAGGGTACGAAGAAGGGAGGCGGCAATGCGTTGAGTGGCTTGTCCACACCGTGTACTTCCTCTGCCTGCGAGGCCCCGGACCCGGGGATGCGGATGGTCGGAAGTGGGCAGACGACAGGGCTGCCGGCACCGAGAGCTTGGACTAGTCTGTAAACCCACCGATGTTGAGGTGATTGAATAGAGTGGGCATTAGGGAACAAGGTCGTTTGCAGCCCGTCTAGCCATGCCTTCCACGCGGGCTCTATCCTGCTGGGCGGCCAGAGCTGGAGGACGAGTGTCTTCTCGCGTAGCATTGCCTGCTGAGTGATGACCGCCTTCAGGTCCTTCTCATCCATTTCGCCTAACACGCACTGGGACAGGTCGTCCTTCATTTCCTCCGTCAGTTCGAGGATGGCGCGTGTGGTGTCAACTATAAGCTGGGCAAGCTCAGCGGTGGAGGCCATTTGACTCGGCTCGTCAACCTTCATGATGAGCTTATCGATATGCGCGTCACGCGCAGGCGCACACCGCGAGCGCAGTGCAACCAATATCTCTCGGAGGTGCATGATACCGGATCGTAGAGGCGCTGAGGTAGGCGATAGCGGGGATGAGAGGGTGACCAAAATTGGATGGCTGCGGGAAAGAAGGGGTTTCAACGCATCGAGAAGGTCTGCATACAGGGCCTTGAGCCTTGGTAGCTGTACGGCAGGTGAGGGATCCGACAACGTCTTTAACGCCTAGGAAAGCAAAATATCACTTTAGCTGTATACTCTCGGGTATGCTAGCATATGTACGCACATCCTCCCAGAAAGCCCTATGGACCATATCATGGACGCGTCCTTCGAGCTTGGGTACTCCGCCCTCGCGCGCCTGGGCGCGTGGGGATGTCATAGTAGACAGAAGCGACTTGCCAGGGGGAAGGACGCGCTCCGGGTCCGTGGCAAGCAAGTGGAGGAAGAACGTGTGATTCAGTTCTTGAACGAGCTCTAGAGGGAGAACAGTGGGAGCGGTGGTCTGTACAGGAAGTAGCGGCGTCTGCACTGCAGGAATTTGTACGATGGGATTGTGCTGTCCTTTCGGCTTCCCTGGCGAGTGTGGAGGCGACTTGGGATGGTAATCCGGTGTCCGCGCACGTTCTACTGGCTTGGCGCGCTCCGCGGACCGCGAACGATGGCTAGCACCAACATGGTCGATGTCATCGAGGTGGTTGTGGCCTTCGTGGCTACTGTCCGCAGGGATAAGACCGAGCCTTTCGCGCAATCGGACAAGCGAGTCTTCGTCTTCCCTCGACGGCTCCCAGAGGCCCTCCGTGGCTAGCATGTCTAAATCCCGCCTCAAGGCCTTGAATGTTTCGTCCACATCCGGTGTATTCCCCCGCGCGCCGTTCAGTAGGTACTGAAATTCCAGAAGCGCGCGTTTGAGAACGGCATTGGCTGGATGTGCACGGGCCTGGAACTGTAGTTTGGAGACGAGCTGTTCCATGGCTGACAGTAGAGGACAAGAGCCTTCCCAGCTGGCAAGCCCAAACAGGTGGCGGTAGGATGAACGAGAGGGTGTGGGGAAGGCAGAGGGAGAGAGACGAAGAGAGAGAGGCGAGGAGAGCGAGACAAGCTTCGCGAGTATGACGAAAGTGTAGATCGCGATTCCAGATCTTACTCAGCGCGCGTCCCCGCGTCCAATCGCGTGCCGCCATTCCGACGCTTCCCGCTACCAGCCGCTACCTCGAGGAGTAAAGGATTCTCTCCGCGATCACTCAGTTTACGCTTCTCTCGCCGACTGCTGCCACTCGTCTATCGCATAACTTACACCCATGTGCAATTGTCGTGTATGGGAGGCACGAGTGGACTGTAGGCCATTCGCTGACCATCTCCGAGCGCCGCTCTTACAGAGAACTCTTACAGAGAATCAAAAATCATTCCAGGCTGACTGAGATAATCCAGCGGTACACACTTCTAGTACGTACAGTGCGGCGCGTGTGCTTCAGTATGCTGTGAAACTACTTCGCACTAACAACACAGATGTGATAGAACACTATTTCATTTGTGCAAAAACAACACCGTCGGTACCGTGTAAGTAGAAAAGCTTTGAAGCCCGGACAGCTGAGTTTCCCTCTACGCGATGCCGAAGAACTGGAGGTACTGCTGCTCGAACAGCGGCACAGTGTGGCCGACGTTCTGCGCAAGGATCGCCTGGAACATCGGGCCGAACGTCGCGTTCGAGTATCCGTTCGGGAGGTACGGCTCGGATACGTTCGAGACCGGCGTGCTTGGGTAGTTGAACACCGTCGTCCACTGCTTAATCTCCTCCCAGAAGTTCTGCGGGTAGAGCGTGGTGTCGCTGAAGATGACGCGTCAGTACATGTTTTTGGGATACATGGGAGAGCGCGAGAAGAACGTACATAGTACCGTGCCAGACTTGCATCTTCGGGCGCGCGCCGGTATAGCCGGGGAACGCGTTATACACCTTCTGAGCCTGTACCATTTGCTTGTCAGGAGCAGCGTTAACCACATCCACACCACCGAGTACTCACCCACTGTTGGCCAGTCAAGATCATCTCGCCGGTCGAGCACTGCGAGTTCCAGCTGTCGTCGGGCTGTCCGGGGACGGCGAAGCAGCCGAAGGCGACCCCGGAGTCAACGATGCCCGCCTTGAAGATGTCGGGGTACGCGCCCGCGAGCACGCTGGTCATCATCGCGCCGGAGGACGTGCCGACGGCGAAGACGCGGTTCGCGTCAACGTCCCAGTTGGCGATCGCGAAGCGCGCCGCGGAGGCAATGCCGAGGGAGTCACCACCGCCGTTGTGGGTAAGCGTCGCGTCCGACGAGACGTCCCAGCAGGTGCCGGAGTGGGGCTAACGAAAGCTTGGTTGGTACGGGCGTGATAACGAGAATGCATGCGGAGGCTTACGGAGTTGGGGAAGAGTACGACGTAGCCGTAGGTCTCAGCGAGCTGAGCGAACTTCGAGCCTGTGAAGTAAGCCTGAGCAGTGCCAGAGCAGTCTGCGAAAATTCAAATCGTCAGCTTTCTACGAACTCCGGCGTCATGCAAGATGCATATACGCACAGTGGCTGGCGACGATGAGCGGCGGGTTCGCGGCGACACGCGCGGGCTTGTACACAAACATGCCGATGTTGTTCGGGTTTGCGCCGAAGTTCGTGATCTGGTGGAGCGTCGACGCCGGGATCGAGCTGAGGCCGGGACCCGTGGGGGTCGACGGGTTCGACGGCGCAGGGCCAGCAGGCTGAGTCGGAGACGGCTGGGGCGCAGACGTCGGGGCGGGCGCGGCCGCGCCAGGCTGGCACTGCGAGTAGTAGGCGTTGAGGGTGACGCAAGTCGTTCCAGCCACTGCGCGTCGTCGAGTGAGCTTTGTTTCATATGGTTCTATATGATGGGAGCAGCGACATACCACAGGTGGTGGCGCCAGTGAAGCCAATGCCTCCGCACTGGCCCCACTCAGCTGCCTGGCCCGCGACGAGGCCGGCGAGCGCGACAAAGCTCAGGGTCCTAGCGAAAGAGAACATGTTTTGACGCGAGTACCGTAGGACTGGAGAGGTTGCCGAGGAGCGGACTGGGGAACTCGAAGGCAGACCGGGGCTCCTCGAGCTAATATACCCGCAGCGTCGGAGAAGCACAACCCGACAACACGAGCACGCATCTGACCTGGAAGTAGCATGGTCCCGTCATGACGGGGTGGCCACGGCGGCATAACGGAGGCCTGCAGACCTATTCGTCCGCGGAACACCCGCAACATACGGAACATGCACATCGAACTCCCCGTGCCAGCAGCCCCGCACGCCCATGAATAGCAACCGCGTGCAGAACATACGGCGCACCAGGAGGACATGCGTAACGCACGACAGGCACGTGAACGGCGCCCACAAGTTGAGAAGCATGTCCGGAAAATCATCGCACGGACGCACCGGGGACCATTTGATGTAGGCATATCCACCTTTGCCCGTAATTGACCCGCTGCGACGCCAAATATAGAGATTTGAACATTACCTTGTCAAGCCCGAGAACATCGACGTCGGGGTTTCTTCCTTCGAGCGTTTTCGACGTTGCGGGTGCGGGGTACGGTACCGCACCACAGGCACCATGGGACCCGAGCGGAATTCGTCAGGAAATCCGGGGGATGTTGCGGGGAAGGACTCAACAACAAAGAAGCACTGCGCTCTTCCCTCTGATCGTCCTCCCCAAACACATTGGACGTGGACGAAAACGGATGAAGCAAACCCTATTGGCGGAGAGCCGGCGCGCATTACGCGAAGTCGGTGGCTGAAAATATACAATTGCTATTGCGGGTCCCGAGAGACGATACAGGCCCCGAGCGGTGCTCTCACTTACGCAGTCAGCTTTCCGCCATCATTGGCCTTCCACGGCCCGAACCCGTCGTCGTCGACGAAAGGCGCCGTATCTGGCCGCGCGAGCGTAGCGTCCGAAGAGGTGGACTCGCGGTGACCCGTCTCTTCCTCGTCCGCTTCGTGGCTGGCCATCATGCTCTCGTACTCGCCTTCTCCTCGTTGTCGTGGCTGACCCGAACCCATGCCCAGTTTCATCCCTGAAGCACGCCGTTGCAGCCGTGGCGAGCCTTGCGGTCGTGGTGACGTAGGGCGTGGGGAGCGCCGCCCGTCCTCGTCCTCTTCATCGCTGGCATCGCCAAGTTGCCATACGACTTCATCTTGCTCTCCCTCCTCCAGGTCGCGCAAAGCCTCCTCTTCGTCGTCTCCCGAGCCACCTTTCCTCAGGGTACGGCGTCCGCGCGAGGAGAGCGGGACGGCGGATGGGGGTGGATCGCCGACCTTATCGGCTGGCTTCTTATATGTCAGAAGCACGACGCCAGAGACAAGGACGAGCATGGAGACGAATATGAGGAATAGCGTCCAGGACTTGTATGCGTCCACCTCGTCGTTGAAAATCTGCACAAGAGTCAGTTGAATTCTCGTGCGCATATGAGTTCGTAAGTATCATACCAACGAGTCGAGGAATCTGGCGGGCAAGGGTCAGTGACAGCCACTATACAGCTATAAACGTGAGACTAACCCTAGCCCGGTGTATACGCCATAGAAGACGGGTACAACGAGGGTGGAGTCATATATCGCTAGACCCTTGTTAAGGCAGACGATCTGACAGACTGCAGTCACGGCGAGTAGGATGAACGTGAAGATGGATGAAGCGTGGCCGAATTGGTTGCCGGTGTTCTCGTGCGACATAGACCCCGAAATCAGCTTCACGCTAACAACCCAAGATAATTAGAGTGGTCAGGGATACAGTTTGACGTTAGAGACTCACGCAGCTTTAGCAAAGACAAGACATCCGCCCGCAAGACCGCCACCACAACAGGCCCAACCGATTCCGAGAGTCCACGCGATACGCTTATCGTCATGTGGAGCTGTCCACGATTCGAGCTGCTCTCTTGACCACAAAGTCGCGTGCCGCCAGAAGGCGAAAACTCTGCCGATGAACGTTGGTGCAGGTGGTGTTGCTCCTGCGCGCGCCCGCATACCCGCGAATGGCTCTGCGTTCAGGTCCCCACGCGCGGTGAGTACCTGATCCAGTTGCGACGTGAAATTGAAGAGGAGGATGAGGGAGAAAGCCATGAAGAAGAAGTAGACGAGCCAGTTCCCGCGTGTCCAGAGGTACGTGAGGTGTCGCGCATCCGTTTCCGTCCCGAGTCCGCTATTAATCGAGCCAAAAGCAACTATGCCGATGACGCCGATAATTACTATGATGGTACCCTGGTATGCATGGTGAGGATGGCACGGCAGTGAACAAACAGGGAGTGACCTACGTAAATGTCGTTCTTCGTAACAGGGGTATTGACCAGGAACTTGGCAAAGAGGAAGTTGAAGATTAGAGATGTAGAGCCCAATGGCGCGACGTATTCTGTACGTTGAAGTCAGTTATGAGCTTGCGGTTCTGGAACAACAGACAAGTAATCCAGCGCTCTCTGCATTTCGAGATATCTATGTACTGCAATCAGGTGGAGTCCACTCGCAGCATCAGGAAACCCAGACTTGCGCCACTTGCGCGAATTCGCAGTCATGTCCGTGCCCGTGTCCGCAGCACCCGTGCTCAGCAAGCATGACAAATGTATGGTCACCAACGAATGCAGGCGAGTGTACGACGACGCGCATTATAACCCTGGTTGACTACCAACACGCTGGATGTAGACAAAACAGGGTCATAGGCACGGACACTCTCCATGAGCGGTCTGCTAAAAGGTTCGTGTGACATACCTGCCCGCATGTATTCCAGTGCCAGGGTGCTTCCAATTAGTTGTGATAGACTGCAAACCTATGAGTGAGGACTGTAGATGCGCGACGAGCCTGGTACTCACATGTATAATATCATGCCGAGCAGCCATAATGGTCGTAAGTACTCTTTTCTCCGCGCGGATTTCGGTATTGCACTCGTCCGCACCTGCATTGACTTCTGGTCAGCACATCTTTCTTCGTGTTAAAGCTACGTGATACGCACATGGTCTAGCTTCGTCAAGTTCAGTCCCGCAGCATTAAGGATCGACGCGAGGGTAACAATAGCGAGCCCGATTATGAAGGCCACGACAGGGCTGGCATGGTGAGCGGGCACAGGGTCATCAAGAGCGAGTTCTGGCACAGCTGTGGGGATGTCTAGGAGGGAAGTCGCAGTCGATGTTGCGGAGTCCATGCAAGATCATGTAGTGGTTCAGAGCAAGCCGTGTGGGGAGCGTGCGTCGTCGTCCGCGGCGAGGTCGGCACCGCCCAAGTGACGACGAGTAAGCGCCACGACGTCGAGGGGCGTCGGAACTTGCCGAGACGCTGTTCTCGGGCAAGCGCCCATAACCAACGCGTCTGCTACCGCGCGAGTGGCACGGGCGCAATGAAAGCATCTTGAACTCCTCCTCCCACACTCCTCGTGTTCTGCGCGACTGCCCAATCTTGGCTGAAACACATGGACAGCATGGAATCTGACAATGATGAGCTAGCATTCGATTCAGGGGACGATGAGGGCTTCGAGCTAGGGCCACGTTTGGTTGCCCCCACGGCCAAGTTGTACACGACCCAACAACTCCATGGTGCGCCTCGAGACGCGAACCGGAAGTTCCAATGCTGATGTTGACCCTCTACCAGGTCTCATTCATGAAGGTATCATTGACCTCAACCCGACATATCAAAGAGGTACGCTTATTGTGGCGCGCGCGCGAGCTCTCCCCGTTGACTCTGTTGAAGACGTGGTATGGCCTGAGCAAAAGCAAATAAAGGTGCTCGACTCGATATGGCGCAACTACTACGTCCCTCCCGTCGTGTTTGCGGTGTACTATAACGAAGATGGGCTGGAAGTGCGCCATTGCGTGGACGGAAAGCAACGGCTCACTTCGATCCAAAAGTTTTTCGACGGCCAGGTGAGCATTTCTCTCGATTTCTTCTCAGTGACGGAAGCCTTGAAACCCTCTCGCGGGTTCAAATTTGGCACTGTGGCGACCAGGCATCTTGGTAACACGTTGTATCCATTCCCAGCAGCCCTAACCACAACTTTTGCAGATACCATGTGAGTTCGACGTCTGTGTCGATGCTCTTGACTCAACGTGCCCACAGATAAGCACTGGCAAACGGGGAAGAGCTGGTGGTACACGCGCGCGAGCTCTCAAAGGAACAACCGTCAGGAGGTTCCCGCAAAGTGGAAGCACGACTTTGCTACGAAGACCATCACATGCGGTGAGTGCAGTGTTCGTGCGCCTCCTGTGTCGACTGCTCACGTTGTTCATAGTCGAGTACACGAATCTCTCCCACACGCTCGAGCGCGACATATTCCAACGGGTGCAGCTCGGCATGCCCCTCACCGCTGCGGGTAAGTCGAGTCGCTCTCATACTCCTGGAGTGCCCGTACTCATCGCGCTTCTAGAGAAGCTACAAGCGATCAGCTCTCCAAAGCAGGAGCTGATCTCGGAGCTCGAGGGCAGATTCATTGCACCCGACGACGGCCTCACACAGCTCATCGACGTGGACGTCGGGCGCGGGCGCGACTTCCAGCTCATAGCGCAGCTCGTATACTGCTGCCAGCAATACCCCGAGCGCGCACAGCCGAGCGCGAAAAATCTTGAGCGGTGGCTCATGGACCCGGCGAAGCCGTCGACGGAGTTCATCAATACCATGAACTCCGTGCTCCGGAGGTTCTGGTTCATCGCGAAGACGAAAGAACTCAACTACGGGTTCAAGTCGATTAGCAAGCGAGTCTCTCCAGCCGAGTTCGTCTTCACAGGTGCGAGGAATACGCTTCTGCCGCGTACATTTAGCAGTGCTGACACTCTTACTAGGCGTTCTGCTGTATGTGCTGCGCGCGCTCACCCAAGAGGAACAGGCGGAGGCGATCAACAATATGCGCAACCACATCCGCGCGAAGTACCAGGACATCCGCATGCGGAACGACATCATCCGGGACCTCTGGATATTCATCGACAAGGTCCTCGACCAGCAGGACGACCCGCCACCGCCGAAGAGGGCAACCGGCAGCAAGAAGGGCAAGAAGGTGCGCGCGCGAGACGAGGACATGGACACGGAAGACGAAGAATACAAGCCGAAGAAGCAGGCCAAGCGGAAGTGACCGTGTTTGCCCTCTCGCGTTGGATTCTTGGTTTAGTGTATGTTTCTGCGCGCACTTTTCTGTTTCAACTCTCTGGTCCGTGTCCTCGTCCATCGGCGTCCGGCGTCCCGTTTCCCATTTGCATATATTCTGTTGTAACATCAATGCTCTTACACATTCAGACATTCAGGTGTGCTATGCATTGTACTTCGCGCGCCCTGTGTACCATATCCCCTGCGGGTCCGTGAGCGCCCGCGCGTGTTTCAGCAGCAACTTGTCCCGCTCCTTAGAATCGACTGCGATGTCCGCCAGGAACGGCGCGATCTCGTCGCCCTTCCACCGCGGCCGTGCGAGGAAGAGCTCAGCGAAGCGCGCGCCGGGCTCGACGGGCAACGCCGCCGAAGGGAAATATGTGAGTAAGGATGCGGGTGGATCCGAGAATGCGTCTGCGGAGGTGAGATAGTTGCCCTGTAAGATTTCAGTGTTGTGAGTGGGCGACGGATGAGATGGGAGGGATGTTGACGTACGGATAGAAGAGCGAGGGCGACGCGCTCCTCAAAGGTGTCCCCTACCGCCTTCCGCCACTGCTGCAAGAATTCGCCTTCCAAGATGGGATCATCCTACTCCCGACGTCAGCGAGCTGCCCTCGCACGTAAGAGTAGCTCGCGGTACTCACTCGATGCGCGCGCAAGATACCGAGCCCGATCTCGCGTACGACCGCATCTGCATCCATCTCCCACGTCGACCCGAGCTGACCTTCGTCGATGCGCCCGAACCAGGACATCACCTGGCGCGTAATGTCGCGCGGAACATCATGATCATCTTCAAGGGCGTGGATGAGCGGCATAAGTGGGGCGTCGGTGTACGGCAAGGATTGCGAGACGAGGTTGATGAGCAGACACTCGAGGATCTTCGTGAGGTGGGACGGCGCGATGGGGCGCAACTCGTCTACATGAGTAAAGGAAGAGTTTGATGGTGGCATGAGCAAAAGATGGAAGAGCGTAGAAGTGCGATGGTGTGTACCTTTCACGAGCAGTACCCGTCGATCGCGGAGGCCTTTGTCAAGTTCCACGTCGCTCGCCTGGATCGTCTTCCGCGCGTCATCGTAGGTGAATTTCGACCTCTTTCTCCGCTGTTGTGTACGGCGTAAGCACAGTCCATGCCGAGCTCATATGGAATACGTACGGGGCTATTATCTTCGTCATCTTCGCTCATTGCTTCCGCGTCTTCGTGGCCTTCGTCGTACTCTCGTCCTCGCAGTAGTCCATTCAGCTTGTGCAAGCGTGGCACGCTTGGAATAAGCTCGAGGATCTCGCAGAGCTGGTCTCGTATGACTACGTCCACACGCTCTTTGTCGTTGTCTGCTTCTGCTTCTGCGTCCTCCGGATCTCGCGTGACCACGAGAACAGAGTTGGAGAGGACTATAGAGCGGACGGTGTACGTCTTCTCGGCGGTGCATAGGACCGCGTCTTCGTCGGATGCACCCTTGATGGTAAGCCTATATCAAGCAATTCACAGTTCATTATTACAGTACGCAACATTCAGCGAACGTTCCGCGTACTGAGGGACATTTGACTCGTCCGAGGCGCCTTCGATTAGTTTGCAAAGATCGGGCGGGAGTTCCAGCAGTTTATACGAGCCAGTGTCGGCCAACGAAGTGGATGCGAACCGCAGGTCGAGTTCGGTCATTGTAGACATCTGCGTGTTCGTAGATAGGCAGATATTCGCCTTGACGGTATGGGCTATATGTCCGGACGAGCAGAAACTTATACGGAGCTCAGAGCCACTAGAGTTATATCGTAACCTATAGTGGAACTCCGCGTAAGTACTTCATTTCGTTAGTTTCAAGCGTACAAACAATACAACTTACGAGGTAATTCAGTCAGGACAAAACCTATCTGTGACTGGATCGTACAAGGCCTGCGTTCGTGGTCAAGCTCAAGATCAAGGCGCTAACTAGGGCCTAAGACTTCCGGACCCACTGGGGACGCGTTCCACGCGACGCGTCACGAGCACGTGTAGCGCGCGTCACAATAAGCAGCCCGCCAAAAACTAGCACTTTTGGCAAGCATCGTACGTATCGTACATGTGCCAGCAATAATTTTTACGCAACGTTACAAGCGAATAAATAGTGCTACTATACATGGTGGTGATCGTTCTGTGCGTCCTTAGTTCATGAAGGCTTGATGTGAATGACATCCAAGAACACTTTGGTGTCCGACTGAATCTGCCGGGCGAAGTCAGCATTAAACGGCACATCGGAACGCATCTCTGGCACGTAGACATACCAATGTAGACTCGGACGACTCGGGCCCCTGGGAAGTGGCAGTTGGGGGATGGCCGGGTCGAGGAAGTGGAGGCAGCTTGACGAGGCCTACGCTATTCTCTTCGTCCGATGCCGTGACAGGCACCGAGAATGTCTCAGAATGGCGGACATTGATCCTAGAAGGTGAATGATGAATGAGCTAGTGTCATTTGGATACAGGGCGCGAGCGTGTACTCACGCTGCGAGCACGCAGTTGACGTATACTGGCTCGCGTGCATTCGATCAATCATGGTGCAAATATAATGCGACAAGAGGACTGCTCTCACGTTTCGTGCAAACTATGTCGAACCCGGCGTAAATTAGGTCTTCCGGCCCTACAAAAGCCTGACATATCGCTTTCAGCTTATTCGCGAGAATGAAGAGTCAATAGAGACATACCAGGATTAGGCAAACAACGCTGAAGATACTAAAGCGAGAGGGAGAGGAATGAGTCCGTGTTAGTTCAGGAGTGTAATAGTAAGGAACATACTCCGTGATCAGCCCTATTTTTTGGTACGTCGATATCAGACCGGGTCAAGAGGCGGGTAAGACCTCAACGCACCAGTAGTCACAGAGTACGCGATGAGTACGTCGATTGCAGAATTAGTCCTGTAGTAGAACAGATGAGCTACTATGGCAATGGTGCAAACGTCGTATCAACGTACTGTCGGAATCCGGTCCGACTTCTATGCAAGACCCACACAAGCACAGTCGTGAGCATGATGTCTGCGACAACAGCGACAGTGAAGCCTGCGGAGTTCGTCCACTGCAGTCCCCAAAAGCCAATCAGTGTTGAATACCGCGGACGCGGACGTGTGAAATGGATGGCGCACCGCGACTTTGCGAAACTCCATCAGGTTGGGGAGTACAAAGCTAGACCCATTTCCGACATTGAGTATTTTATGATAAGGGAGAAAAAGCGAGGGGAATCCAACTGACGCTTTGACGGTGCCGGCTACGGGACGGTCATGATTGGGAGATCAGTGAGCGAACAGATGAGCGAACATAGCGCCATCCTCACCTATTGCAACTCCTGCAAAGAAAGGTCGTCAGATATGAGTTCCGATTTCCGAGAGAAAATGCCACTAACCAAACTCTGCCATGAACATTAGAGCCTGGTACGGCCGAATTTCAGGTTAAAAGCGCTCCACCGTGAGTTCGGCTGTGCACTTACTGCTAGCGCTACAAGTGGTCTAAGACGCCGTCCGACTGTGCAACTATAGTTGAGACACGCAACCTAAATGTCCGGGTATCCATGGACACTGACCGACGTAGACGCGATGCGCGAAGAAGCTTTGTACCGGTCAGCACAGCGTCCGTAGTTCCAGCGTTTCCCTGAAACGTACCATTGACAAAATATAACGGAAAGTGCCTACGAGGAATAGTGTCAGTGCGATGTTCGGCGGCTGTTAGAATATTCGGCCTACTGTCGTGACGGGGAACAGCTGTAACAACAAAGGGAAGCCGTGGAATGCCGTTCAACAAACGATGCTATCGAGAACATCGCTCTATGCTCACATTTATGGACCTGCAACAACACGAATTAGTAGAACTTCAGGCGTTCACAGCGAACTGTCGCGGACGCACCAAACTCCTGTAAAAAGCCGATCTGGCCGGAAGTAGTTGACTACCAGGTACCAATAGCTTCCATCCGCCGTGAGCTTGGACGTGAGGTGGTGCCGCACGACTAGCCAGGCGCACCTTATATGCATGGATTGGATAGTGTAGAACGTGTCGAAAACACTATACAAAAAACGGTGTCAGTGTATGCGTTGCGGCAGAAACCGTCGAGCGACACGTACATGATAAATAATACCTGAAGAGCACTTTAGCCGTGGTACATGGGATTGAAGAAAAGGCGCTCACGAAACTCCTGGTGTACCGCGAGTCTGACATGTGGTGTCGTACATATTGGTACCCTTGATGGAGCGACACCCCGTACAGGCTGACAAGGAAAGGCTTGAGGACCAGTAAGCGGCATACGGGATAATAAGACGTACAGGAGACCGATGAACGTTCCAATAAGCAGCGCGCCGTAAGTGTTGTCGATGGGCGGGATCTTAGGAAGCGGAAGCGCGGAGATGTCGGGAGACCCTGCACTGGACTGCGGCAGGAAGCTGGACGAGACGGGCATGTCGTCCGAGCGTCGCAGTCTGACGCAAGGGACTCGAAGGGAGGGGGGTTCAAAGGCTGACACATTACCACACTGGCGACTTCATATCCGTTCTGTCCCTGGGAGAATAGGAAATAGTGTGCGGCGTCTTCTTGCAAACACAGCGTGATAATCGCCCAGAGCAGTCATCTCGACAGCGCTCCCGGTATATCAGAGATGCCAAGGTTGTGATCAGCTGTACCGTTCCCGAGTGGGCGCAGCCCGTGGGACACCGTATTGGTGGAAACGAGGGTCCCCAACTCTGCTTGAACCAATCCCGATGAGCCGCGCCTGAACCTCAATAATGAAAGTGTGTACCTGAACCATTACCGACAACACATCCGGCGCTAGCTGCGCAGAAAGAGCGGACCTCCTCGGGAATTGTGTGATCCCATATGGCAAGAGGGTAAGGACGGGGCCCCGAAAGGCAGCGTCTAGGTAGCGTCTAGGGTCGAAATGCGATGCACGGTGCGTAAAATCCGAGCGCATCAGCGCCCATTTTTCGCAGGGACGGAGTTGACTGTCAGCACGAGCCACAGAAGGCTGATTCGGCGAGGGGCGTGGTGTCTGGCTCCCATAGCAGCAGTCATCATAGCGTAAGAGGAAGAGAGAACCACACGCACCTTGAATTCTGGCGGATGATGCATGCCCTTGACACATATGTTTGACATCCGGGATGTCTTCACTCGTCCCAGTTGCCAAAGTTGGACAAACTCGCGAGTGATGCCGATATGGCAGTGCATACTTCCGCGCACCGCACAATATGACAGCATCATTAGTAGGCATCTCGCTTGCGTGCGACTCAGCAGCACTCATTGTGCCATGGTATGCTCTCGCCTCAAATGCCATACCATGTTTCATGACCGTTGCGAATTGATTGCAGAGCGCGTGCGGGCTCAATTCCAGCTGGGTATCGATTGCATTTGAGTGTCGCGGAGCTGTGTGTCTCGTCATGGTGCGAGCTGAGCGAGTGAGTGAGTGAGGAGTGAATACTAGTGAGTGCCGACGGCAAGCGCGCCCGCAGAGCTCTTCGTCCCGATCGAGACATGTCGCGTCGCGCGTGGGCTCAGGTACTAGTATGCGCGATCCAGATGCCTCGTCTCTTGGGCTCATACCACACACGCGTAAATAACCTCTGCACGCCATGGATCTCAGGAATGATCAAACCATGAATACATGAATGAGGATGTTCGTTCTGGCTTATGATACTTAGTCGCCGATCCGTCTCAGATTGCGGTGGTAAGTTGGCAAGTCAAGATATTGCGCCTGACTACTACTAGCTATAGACTGCAGCTCTTGGACGCACTCGACCAAGGTATGGCAAGCTCGTCAGAGGAGGGATAGGTCAGGATGATCTTCGAAGTTGTGGTCACCAGCCGCCTAGTGGAGTGCTGTGGAGGAGAGAGTACTGGAAGTGAGTGTTTCATTAGCGCCTGCGTGGGCGGAGGCAGAGATCTGCAGCCGATCACCGATTTTATCGCGATCCGACGCCCGATCTGGTCCACCGCGCACGCAGCACGATCGTGTTTCCTCCAACGACTCGAATGCACAATCCGCCTCCTCTCAAGATCGCTCTTTTCTCATTCCTCGGTCCCAGTGGCGTACTACGCCCTGTCTTGATGCTTTCCCTCGCTGTCACTATTTACCTCCTTCCCGGGCCCTCGGCATACCCAATAGTACCCGGCGTCTTTCCCTCAACTTCTCCCAAGTCGCCTCCACCTCCGAGTCCTGGTTTAAGCCTGATCCCCGACTTTGGACCAGTCTGGAAGCCTGCGCATGCCCGCGCCACGAAACCCGTCTTCAGCTGGTCGCTCAAACAGAAGGTGGCGACTACGACCGGTGTGGGTCGGATGGATGGCAGTTGCGTCGGCAACATCCCCACTGTGGCAGACTGGCCCGGCCTTTGTCTCGAGGACTCCCCACTTGGCGTGCGCAACACCGACTGCGTGACCGCGTTTCCCACTGGCCTATCAGCAGGGGAAAAGGATTTAACACTGGTGGGAGGAGGGGGGCGCGATCTGAATGACAGCGTACAGACTGCAACAATTTGTGTATACGTACTGCTATCGCTTGGCTATTCATCGCCGCCGACTAGTGGCCACGCGGCGGCCATCACGCGCCATCCCCTTCCTGCAGTCTCGCGGCTTCAGTGGACCCTACAGGCTACAGACAAGAGCTTTCAAAGATGTCACCCGGTGGTTCGTCTCCGATTAAACTGCGAACTTATGATGTCCTCTTCAGGATATCTTGTTCAGCTCATGCGTCATGTGAGTGTTTCGCGGCGCCACGAGTCTCTGTATCTGACAGTTCTCAACAGGTTCTTTCCCGAGATCGAGCATGTGGGCGTCGTGATGACCTTCGACGAAGTTTGCGGTCTCTCGCAAGTACCCCCAATGCGGCCCTTCAAAGCCAGCCAGGCCCTCCGCACCCTGGAATCGTGTTTCAAGACCACCTTTGACACCCTGGAGTGATACGTAGAAGAGCACGCCAAGAACTGTACGGGCTGGACAGATGTCTATGCTCGGCGCATAGCGGGGCCGGAAACCTCGTGCAACCCATGGGCACCCCCGAGATCCTCCTGTACGCGCACTACCGGCGCACGTCGCTGCATGAGCTTGGTCTCGGCTAGCGGCTGTTTGAGCACGGGCACGGTGAGCTCACGTGGGGGATGAAGGTCCTTGTCTCCGCCATCGCGCTCTTCGCTGTCTCGCGCGCTGACGAGCAGTGTACGACACCAGAGGCATGCGGAAAGGACCACAAGAGAGTCCTACTGGGGATCGTGAAGAAAGGGCATCCCATTGGCCTTATCGATGCCCCCAGGACGTGCAGCAGGCCCACCATGCCGCTAGCGGGACGGGCAAGGCAAGTACCCTCGAGCTTGCTTTTCTTTCAAGTCGGCGATCGTCCATAATGCTGTGAGTACTACCCACACCAGCGCTCCGATGCGGGGCGCGGAACGTGTTGCACGAGGACCGTCACGGCTTCCTTGTTGTCTTCCTATGGCTACAGCAGCTCGATTGCCTCTTCCAGTGGGCGTGTGCTTGGCAGCGACTTGACGCTATCATCATGGGGTGACGCCGCAGTGCATTGATACCTCTTTCACGGGCCATGGCTCCGTCGTGTCGTAGATGAAAGCATCTGTGGCGCCTCTTATATATAAGACTTGTGGTGGGAAGGCCGCTACGTACAGTCTCTCTCATCTTGCCCGCACCTCGTGCCCTCGTTGGCTCTTCATGTCTCCATTTGAGGTCGACCCATCGCAATGGGTATGTTCCATCTCATTTGAGACCCTGGCATGGACTTGGTTTACATCATACTCTGGTACAACTAACGCACGCAATCGTTTGTAGCCTATGTTCGCATCCAAGCTCACGGCCTCCATTGTGGCACTCTTTCTTGAAACATTGCTCTTTGGCACGTTTGCCGTCACCTATACTATGGGCGCGTGGTCTTTGTTAAAAACCCTTGCCTCACGGGGGAGATCATCGCGAGACTGGGTTTTACTGGCTACCAGCACGACTATGTTCGGGCTGGCTCTTGTGGTACGCACACTCCGTGCTTGTCCGAATTCTGGCAGAAACTGAGCTTCTCACATTGAGCATATCGCACTGAGCTTGAAGTTAACGATCGCCGGCTTCGTTGCAAATAACTCGCCAACCGTATTTGATGTCTATTCCACGCTAGAAGGCTTCGAGTTTAGATCCCCTCTGTGGTTTGCCCGGTTAGGCATCTATGTCACGCAGACGCTTATCGGCGACACTTTCATGGTGAGCACCTCTGTCTCATATTTATATCCCCAAGAAGTAACATGAATTTGATGACTATAGATATACAGAGTTTTTCTTGTGTGGAATCGCAGCCGGAAAGTCATCATTCTCCCTGCGATACTGTGTCTTATCCACGGCGGTGACTATAGTCCTTTTGCAAGAGCTAAGACCAGCGTACTGAAGACGATCCGTTGCTCTTTCAGTATGTGGTTATGTCACACTGGGGGGCTTGCTTCTGTCCGAACCCGTGTTCAAATCGGACCGCTTCCTCCCCGTCAAGATATTCACCTTACTGGCATTTTTCTGTCTCTCGTTCACCTCCAACGTACTCAGCTCCGGTACGTTATCTGGCCTTGTCTGCCTAACGGTTGCGTGGGGTGCCCTCCAGCGGCTATCATTCATTACTGACCCCTCATCAGCTCTCATTATTTGGCGCGTCTTCCGCAATGCGAACCGGTATACGCCGCCGTCAACAAGGCTCAAGCTCTATCGAATGGTAGTTGAGGCTATCGTGCAGTCCGCTGCCATCTATTCCATGGCGTCCCTCTCTCTGATTATCACAAATGTCGAGAGCATCGACGTCGGCTTCGAGGTGTGCCTCAGCCTCTTCCCGCCGCTTATTGTGAGTACCCGCCATATCTCCGTAGTTCCCCAGACACCTCAAGCGCTAGCGCTGCATAGGGCCTCGTATTCTCCTTCATCGTCCTTCGAATGGCCAGGAGCTCTGCAGAAGACGTAGCGCGCCGACTTGCTTCGCACACAAGAGACTGGGAATCGGACAAGCCGAGCTGCATCATCACGAGCCACATCCGCCCTACGAACGTCCAGTTGCACACACCCCCTGTTCCCCTTCCCGTATCTCGCCTTACAACTCGCGAACTCCCGACAGACGCGCAGACCACGTATATATGCAACGCGAGCACGAGCAGCATCAAGCCGGCAGACGGTGACTTCGAAGGCTGACCAGGAAAGGACGGCATCGGCGTGCTGGACATACCACAGTAGAAGGCATCGTAGACGGTCTGAGACAAGCCCGGGCAGGTACGTGTCTCTCTGTATCGGGTGTATGTAAGACGCTCACTAGGTGCCGGGCCATCGGCATACGCGCAGATAATCACCATATAGAGAACAAACAAAGCCTGAGAATGGACTGTCTATTTATTTACGTGTGGTATATGAAATCTTGGGGCGACAAGCCGTCGCTGCGCGCTTCAGGCGGATGGTGTGGTGTACACGGAACTCGCGAAGGAGACGCCTACGGCGTATAGACTGCCCAGTCACCGCTCGTGGGACCTCGCAGCTGTAGCTCGTAGGTAGACCGCCATGTATGTTGCGAACCGTAGTTTATATTTGATGAGATAGCGAGGATGTCAAGGAAAAACACACGCCAACGTCGGGGGAAAGCATTCATCCATACTGTAGCAACATCACGAGTTAAAGCAAGGCGCCTTCCAAGTCACGCAGCAGCAGTAGCGTACCTGATCCTCCCACCTATCACCGCGAAGCAATGGCATATTGTGGGATAAAGGTTTCCTGCTTGGACGAAGCTCGGGGCCGCGGCTAGGTGTTATATCTACACCCTGTCAGGAAGGGGATGTGGCTCACACTGACGTGGGAGTGAGGCACAAGACACCCGATTGCGACCTCAGAGACGACCTAGTCTAAACCGGGGATGAACGTGCGAGGATAGACGTGGTGGATGAGTATCGAATCTTGGAGCAATCGTGGGCTGTGTTTGCACGGAACTTTGGCAAAGAAGGGGATTGCGGACGCGCCGGTACCGCGGAATTTGGGTGGTCACCGGTCAAGCCCTACACTGCTGGGACACCGCACCTGGACGAATGTGGCAGGGCTGTCATTTTGTCCTTGAGTTCAGGTGGAACGACAGCGGCGTCCGGGGTGTCAGACCATGAGTCGAGTGGGGCGTGTTGGGATGTGGATCGAGCCTGGCAGCCTGCATGGCACGTAGGTGTATCAGTGCTATAAAACGAGTAAGGTTTCCGGATCATGCCTATCTCGAAGCCTGCGTGCACGTACGTGATCCCGCCGCCATACTGCGAAGGCTTCTCAGCTCCAAAAAATGCGGGGCCCCGCAAACAGGCACTCGCTTCGCGGCGACCGCAGCCCAGGTGCCAGTGCAATGGCACCACACGCGCGGTGGCCGTATGTCACTCGGCGTCCACATGAAACTTCTCGCTGCGGTAAGCTGGGCGCAACACTGCATGGACTATGCAGACGGACACGCACCCTAGAATCTTGAGCTTGGGGAGGCCGGGATTCGGCAAAGGGGAGGAGGGAGTCGTGTGAGTGGCGTACAGGAAAGAGAGGGCGGTTGCCAGCCACAAGGCGTGGCCACGATGCCCCACTCTCTGAGAAGCCTCGTAGCGAGATCACCCTGCCCGATGCACCTATGAGCTCACCGTCGACGGTCCGACGACGGATGTGCCTCGTAGGATCGTCGTCACGGCGGTGCACCGGCACCGTGCGCGGGTGAGGGGCCGGGGCTCGGGGTTGGCCTCATATGTGTCCAGGACTTCCCAGGTTTGTCGACAGCCCGGCGTGGGAGGTGTAGTGCACAAACCTACCCCACGACGCTGGTGGACAGATGCACGCAGCGGTCAGGCGACAGAGCCTATCACGTCCTCACGTACTGCCCGCGCTGCAAGATCCGACGGGGTACGGAGGCTATGCGTGTGTCCGACGGACGACGGGGAGCTGAGAGCTGCGTCGCCCGTCGCCGTCGAGCGGGCGGTGGTCGCGGTGGTCGCGACCAAGCACAGGGCCGATCGCAACCGACGGACGACGGCGACGGGCTGTGGGCTCGCGCTCCGGAATGCAGAACAGGCGAGGCGCAGCATCAGCAATGCGTTTCAGCCCCTTTCAATCTCAGCGATAGACCGGGTAACAAGGGCAATCAAATAATGCTAGGAAGGAGTAATCGTGGGAGCCCGGACGTAAAGACTTGATTGGAAGCCAGCTAAAGCGAACGGTATGGGGCAAGGACCCCGGGCCTAGAACCCGGGATGCAGGACGTCAAGGGAGGGCGGGCATAAGTTGTACACACTCCCTCCTCCCCGTCTTTTCTCCTCTCCCCCCCCCCC